GGATGCATTCACATCAGAGTCGGTATTTGCTCAATAGGACCGCTCATCTGAAACTACAGGACCGCTCATCTGAAACTACACCGTTGCTCTAGTTACAGGGCCTTGAATTCTTTTCACTCTTGAAGGTGGTAAGTATCTTCAATATTCAACAGTAAGAGCATTCATGCACCAGGCAAAACGCTGGAACAAATAAGCATATCACAACGAGACGACGACAACTTTGTACATCTTGCATTACGAGTTTTGAAACATAATCTAGGGAGAGCGGTACAGTCGAAGATGAATTGTCGTACATCACCCATCAGTTTTTATCTACCAAAGGAAACCTAATTTGTGCGTGCACAACATTTGGCACAAATGTTCAATATTATTCCTACTGACAATCGAAGTGCTATGACAAACAGTTCACTATCAACACAATATATACAAGATAAATAATCAGCACACAAGGTGCGCCGACAAGGACGGACCCCTAACAGCTTTCTGGGACTTCTTTACCGCAGCATTCTTTCCCAAAGCAAGCTGTCATTTGCAGAGTGGAAAACAAGTCAGCTTGAAACATGACGCTTTGGTTAACAAACTTGGAGAAAATATGATTGCGTAAGAAATTAAAAAGGGCAGTGGGAAAATAGTACCACAGATGCAGGAATGTGTCTACGGGTCATCAAATAATTCACAAAAAAGATAAGACTTATATAAGCTGAAGCCCAAAAGGCTTGTAGTGAAGCGCATGAATTATCCCTGATGTTGATTGGGAACTTGGAAGGATGTTTGTTTAAGCGGTAGCAGCAGAACATTGTGGTACTCAAATTATAGAAAACTGAAGCTCATGTGCAAATATCTACTATATACCAATACCATTATAAAAAGAGCAAGTTGCAAAGGTCCAACAAATCTCACCGATTCAACTGCATCCATCCAACGGTCTACATCGCTCCGATGTTTAGCATGTTTAGTACCATCGCCTAATTAATATCATGCTTACTATATAGCCTAGTACCTAATATTAACATGCAATTTATATTTTGCCTAATATTAATATGCAATATAATTAATATCTTTGCCTCGTGTTAATGTGCATTGCACGTCCACAATTACTAGTTGGGTTAAAGGCCTGAATTTCTTGCTTACAAGTTACCATCAGCCCACTCGCTACATGCTCTCATCCATTTACTCCTCGCCCTACAAATTAACCAGCGACTACTCTATCCAAACAGCTTCACGCTCCAACCCTTGTCTACCAGTGGCATTTGATCAATAAACTTGATGAGATAGTCTGATTAGCCTTCCAAAAACTCTTTAGTTTACAGTACTTTCAGGGCATGGACTTCCTCATGAAAAGCTCCTAACATAACTTCTAGTGTTAACAGATGTTCCGTACCTCACCCAGTTCATCAATATTGATGTTCAGGAACTACAAGTGCAACTAAAAATCATGCATATTGGTAGGAAGCACATATAGTAAAATCTGATGTAGTGATCTAAACGCTCTTATATTAGTTTACGGAGGGAGTATAATTTTGCATTAGTTTACGGAGAAACACAATGCTAGGTAGCAAGCTCACCATTTTAACATGCCCATAAGGCAGCCATGAAACTGCCTCGCTCCAACCTGCTGGCCATCACGTCCATCTGCTCTTCGCCGTCAGACTGGTTTGCAAGGATAACAAAATCGTCCTCCAGATCCATCTGGTCTTCCTCCTCGGGCTGATTTGCAATGATAACAAAATCGTCCTCCAGCTCCGATTCGTCGTCCTCCGAGGTCTCCGGTGGGACCTCGCTCTCCTCATCCTCATCTTCCACGATCCCCGGTGGCACCTCGCTCTCTTCATCCTCATCCTCCAAGGACCCCGGTGGAACGTTGTCGCTCTCCTCGAGCAGTTCGGTGACATCCGGGTCGATGGCCTCCTCCACTGGAATCAGCGCTCCCGTTGCAGCGACATTGTCCAGACCAACATCAACACCACGCGCGTCGTATGCCTGCACAGAACAGTACCGGGATTAGACACCTGGAAGGGACGAAATTACGCGGCATGCTCCAAGTGAACAAACAGATCGGACCTTGACGCTCAGCGGGAGACCGCAGCGCGCGGCGCGGCGGGTGGGGAGGAACACGGCGGACGAGCCCCCGCCACCGGTGGAGGAGTACGAGGGGCGGATCTCGCGGATGTGGGCGAGGTAGTTGTAGCCGTCGTCGGGGAGGCCGAGCTCCAGGATCGCGCGGCGGACGTGGTCGGGGAGGGCGGCCCCGGAGGGCGAGGACGAGGGCTCGGCGCCCTCGAAGTAGCAGCAGGCGTCGTCGTCGTCGTCGTCGAGGCCGGGGACGCGGTACGGGTTGCCGTCGACGCGGACGAGGACGCGGTCGGAGGGGTCGGCGGCGCCGGGGCGCGGGCAGAGGCGGAACGTGGCGGAGTTGCGGGGCTTGCGGTTGCGGCCTCCTCTGCCTCTACCCATGGCGACGGTGGCGGATGGGGCGGGGAAGGCTGTGGCGTGCGGTGAGGTTTCCGATCTGTGTGGAGTTTATTTTTCCAAGAGAAAATGTGATCTTACTCCCGTTTTATTAGGGCTGGGGAAAAGATGGATGCGGGGGAGGGATGCGTGGGGGGTATTACAAAGAGCGCAAGAAAAGGGAATATTCCCTCCCGAGATCTATCTATCTTTTTTTTAGAGAGAGAAACACCCGAGATCTATCTATCTATCTATCTAGTATTAGGCTTTCACGGGCCATTATACTTCATTTTACCATCTATGGAGTGGCCCAACAAGGATCGTGGTTACTTTTCTTTTTGCTGTTTCTTTTCTCGTTTCTATTTTCATATGTTTTCTTTCAATTTTATCCTATTTATCATGTTTTTGTTTACCCATTTGGTCAAATACATGAACATTTATTTAAAGACACGAAGGAACATTTTTTCTCAAACATATGAACTCATTTCATTTTTTTACATGTACAACATTTTTTTAACTGTGAGATTAACATTTCATCTTATACGAATGTTTATATTCAGATCATGTCTTTATATAGAAATATATTTTGTATAGAGACATATTTACAAATATATTTTGTATATATATATATATATATTTATTTAAAAAGTATAAATTAACATGCAACGTCAATGACCAACCCATTCCCCCCGCAAAAAATAAAAATAAAAATGACCAACCCATTCTTTCGGTTGCAGAAATTAGTCATCGCCATTTAGTCGTTGCAGCCACTACGAAGCTATGGCTCGCAGCACCTCCGCTGCTCAACAAAGATTTTTTACCAATTCGAGGTCCTTGTCCACTGTTCTTTTTCTCTATAATAAGATATACTCCCTCCGTTTCTAAATATTTGTCTTTCTAGAGATTTCAACAAGTAAGTACATACGGAGCAAAATGAGTGAATCAACACTCTAAAATACGTCTATATACATCTGTATGTGGTAGTCCATTTAAAATCTCTACAAAGATAAATATTTAGGAACGGAGGGAGTATGTGATTTCTATTATGTTGAGGTATTTTGTACTATTTTTGATGAATTTTTATAATAGATCTGATCTTTTCCAAAAAAAAAAGAAATGATACACAACATATCAGATGGTATGTGCAACTTTTGCATTGCTTCTATCAACGGTTTTATGGTGCTTTATTATTACGGTGTTTCAATCACATCAGTACACAAGTAGTACACCCGTACATTCAACACCTACGCAATCGCCATGGATCATGGTCGAGTAAACCATAGCATATACGGGTTTTCCCTAGATTTAGTTGTTCGCCTCCCCTTTTTCCCCTGTAGGACTAGGGGGTTGCCGGGATCAGTGTCGTGTCAGCAGGCTACCGATGGTCTCCTTTAGCCAAGATGAATTGGTGTGTTGTTGGTTGCCATTGCGGGACTCGGGGTTTGACTAGCGGGGTGTCGATAAATGTCGTGCTTGACCATGGTCAAGCAGAGATGACAACGACGTCTTTCGTGGACGTTTTGCTCTTCCTTGGAAGCGTCGTCATTTGGACCCCCTCCTTCAAGCTAATGGCATCTTCCTACATCGCCGGGTTCAACTATTGGAGTGTGCCAAGGGAGCGGTGGTTTGATTGATCAATGATGTCGTGGCGCTTCGGGAAGCCTACGCTCATTGCTAGGATAAAACAAGCTCCTTTGCTTTAGTGCTTCATTTAGCTTTGCTTTGTCTAAGTTTTTAGCTTCCTGTTCGCCGGTGTGAACTTCCATTGTATAGTTGGTGTGTGTTAGTATGGTTTCTTTGTGCTGGTTGATACTTTATCTATAAAACGGGTGACACATTTTTGGTAGATACATGAACATTTTCATGTTTAGAAATAGAAATATATTTCATAAAAAAACATATTTGCAATTCTTTGTTGAAAAGTAACATGCAACGTTAATGAGCAGCCATTTGATTTGCTTTGATACCCTTTTGGACCCAGAAATTAGTCATTGCCGTTTGTTCGTTGCCGCCACAATAAAGTTGCGGCTAGCAACGCCTCCGCTGCTCAACAACGAACCTCTACAATATAACTTCTGTTATGTTTGAGGTACTTTGTACAACAAAATGAACTTGTATAATACTTCATCCGTTTCAAATTAGATAACTCAACTTTGTACTAAATTTAATACAAAGTTTATATTAAATTTAGTATAAAGTTGAGTCATCTATTTTGGAGCGGATGGAGTAGATCTGAATCTTTTTCATAAAAAAGATAAAATATCACATGGCATGTGCAATTTTTCCATTGCCTCCATCTTAATGAGCGAATCTTTAGGATTTACGGTGCTTATTATTACGGTGTTTCGATCACATCAGTACACAAGTAGTACACCTGTACATTTAATACCTACGCATTCATCAGTGATCACTGATCACCATGGATCATGGTCGAGTAAACCATAGCATATACGGGTTTTTCCTGGATTCAGTCGTTCGCCTCCGCCTTTTTTCTGTTAATATAGTCAAGGCGGACGAAGCATATTAATCATCTGGCAGGCAGCGCCGGCGGCTCACGCGAGCACCGTGGTCTCGGCCACGGCGGCGGACCGGATGTCGACGGCGGCCTCGACGTGGTCGCCGCCCGCCTCCCACAGCTCCGGCAGCGCCTCCCTGATGTTGTGGATGCTCTCTAGCGCCACGTCCGCCCCGGGCACGAGCGCCGAGCTCCCTACCTGCACCATCGTTTCAGAGCGTTTGTTCGTTCAGTTTCTAACAGGTATTCCAATGGCGTGGGGATCAATGCAGCGGCTGTGAGAGCTTACGATGACGGTATGGAAGCCTGCCGCTTTCCCTGAGGCGATGTTGCGCGGGCTGTCGTCGAAGAACACCTGCAAATCAAAGGCAGTTTCGTCAGTTACTGCTGCTAAACTAAACGGCGGTCGTTGCAGCTGTAGCTTTGCAGTTCTGCGGCGCGGAGAGTCGACGAGGGAATCCATGGCTGAGCTGCGTGCTGCTTACTGTCTTCTTGGGGTCGAGCTTGGCGATCTCCACCACGGCTTCCATGGACTCCAGGGACGGCTTGCAGAGGACCCTCTTGCCAGAGCTAGCGTCTGTGTCACCTGGATTCTTGGGGTTCAGGGTCTCGAAGCATATGATCCCCTCGAAGCATCCCTCCAGCCCCATCTTCTCCAGGACGGTCGCCGCGTGGGCCTCGTCAGAATTGGTGAATATCTGCAGTGGAGGGAACAACAAACTGTCACTGCTGCAGCAATTGTTTTGGTGCTTGAAAACAAATGAGCAATTAACTGTCGTTGACTCCTTTTGCTGATGTAGCAGGAAATATCAGAGAGACTTGGATGCAAGGGATGAGCTTACGATTTTCCTCTGTGGCATCGAAAGCAGCAGGTTCCTCAGGACAGGGTCCGGCTTCAGCTTCTCGTATGGCAATTTACCGTGCACGCTGGCGTGGAATTCGTCGTAGTCGAATTCGTAACCCATAAGCTGGCACATGAATAGCATTATGAAAAAGTTTAGAAACATAATGGGTAGCTTGAAGACTACTAACAGAAACTTGTAGAAGAAGAATACTAATCTAAGTGTACAGGGGCATACCTTCAGACCGGCCATCGTAGTTCCATATTCTTTGTACAGATCCAGGCACATCTTGGGGACCAGGCTCTCCTCGATCTGAAGCTTGTTCAGCATGTAGTCTGCGATTTGGTAGGTACAAGTAGTATGAGCACACAAATTCTGTAGCATGAAAACAGAGGATTGGTGTAAAGTTTATTAGTACCACTTACCTTGGATGTTGTTGCGGCAGGCTAAGTTGATTCCTAAGATCAGTGGGTAGAGGGTGTCATCCATGTCTGAACATGTCGAGAAACAATCAACGAGGGGTTCAGAAGTAAAGTACTGGGCAGAGAACTCCATGTTTGAAATACAGTTGCGATGAAAAAACTGTCAGGTAAGGCAGACCTACCAAACAGCAAGCAATCAAATTTGGCTCCGTTGGCGTAGGATTCCATCTTGACAGGTTGGACAGCGCCTGTAACCGTTGCAAAAGAAATTAGCAAAAGAACGTTAAAATTGGGGACCTGCTGAGTACTAATGCACTCTTATCTTGCTAGATGCTCGTATTTTCTTTTCGGTATTGTCAATTTCTTCATAACTGTCACCCGCAAAAAAAATATATATATATTCATAACTGTTTCTAGCAACCGTTCAGTGTTTATTTCTTACTACTTGCATCAGTTCAATCAGCATGATCGTAGGAAGAACAGAGTTTGTCCCGGCAGAGATTGGCAACTTAGAGAAATGATGCCATAAACCTCACCGGAACTGGGATGAAAGAACGAAAGCAAACCAAACGGATCACTAGCATCAGCATGCCGGTGACCAGAGAAGCTGGCAAGAAAGAGATGGAAGGTCGATTAGCAACCTGGCAATGGCATGCACATGTACCTAGACGATGAACGGAAGAGTGGAAGACAGAGCACCAGCTGCACACACACAACGCAGGTGACTAGGTGAGTAGTGGATGCCATTTCGCCTAGCTAGGCCCCTCTATTTATACAACAAAGATGATCAGAGTCACAACTGGCAACACATGACATGACGAGGATGGGCTTTATCTGGTCTCTGGAGGGTGACACAGCCCGGTGGTTGGGTGCTATCCGATGATGGGAGCACCACGGAGCCGAGCCTCGAATTATTGGCCACCGGCCGGCTCCTGCCTTCTCCGGCTTCTTTCTCTGCTCGGCAAAGTGCCCTCCTACGCGAGGGGACGACGACGTGCCGGACAGCGACCGCTCTGATTATTGATCGTTCATGCTGGTGGAGTTGGCGGCGGATAGGATCGGATCGGCCAACTTACCCCAGCCAACTTTCCTTTAAAAGCACATATGCTTTGGTTTAGTTCAGCTTGGGCGCCGCCGACCAAGCTAGCGGACGATTGGGTAGCCATCAGACATCCGTGATGTGGCATTGCCGTTAAACTATGAATGAATGTAGGGTTCGGTGTGGAGGAATCCACTAGTGGCCGGCGTGCGTCACAGCCTATACTATGAGTATATGACTCATGGGTATGGTGATTTGTTGAAGGCTCTCGGCCGTGGAATCGCGAGCGTGGAAAAGCCACGACACGTGTGTGGCATTTCTTAAAGATGGCATCGCTTTCGTCCCGCGTCGACGAGCGTCGGGCTCTCTGTTTTGATTTGGTTATCCTTTTGCGCGTGATGGGGAGAGCAACGCGCGCATGGGGCGCAGAGTTTATGTGAGAGTGACAGAATGACAAGTTTGCATGCACAAAGCTGCATCTATGGCCTTCATTTTCAGTGTCATGGCCAGTGCGTGCGTGGTGGTGCTAGTGGAGATGAGCTACCTGGCCACCGACTGAGCGTGACGATGGACGATGGAGTTCTATATGATCCTCGGGCCATAGAACAACCGCAGCCGCAGATGCGTGCAAAAGGAGAATCTGCCTTTCACTATAATTTTTCTGGAGAGAAGAACCTGCCTTTTCGTTGGAAACGGGGGTGAAACACTTGTAGCCACATGTGTTTACCAGGAATAATAATAACAACGTTGGCCCTTCGCTGTTGGAACTTGGTCGCCACGCTTGCAAGGGGCCTCTTTGATTCACACGATTTGTAAAACACATTCATAGAAATAAAAACATATGAATGTAGTGGCATGTCAATTCGAATGCTACAATATTAGTATGAGTGCTTGATTGTGCGTAGGAAAACAAAGGATTTTTCATGTTAGGTTGAAGTGGATGGAAATGGAACTTTTCTTATGAGAACTCTACAAAGGATTTTTCATGTTAGGTTGAAGTGGATGGAAATGGAACTTTTCTTATGAGAACTAGTACAAATGGAAATTCCTTTAGGAATCCTTTGAATCAAAGAGTCCCTAAAACCTTATACAAACATGGACCGAAAGTGGGCTGCAATTTAATTGCGTCAGCCGGGTCTTGAACTCAAGACCTCTTGGCTCTAATACCATGTAGAAATGCATGCTCTAGCCAATGCAACCCAAAGACCGATCTGATGAAAGAGACTAGGCAGCACATTATACGTCAACAAAGTCAGGGACGGGGTGGCGGGCAAATTGACAAAACGACAACAACATTTAAACTGTTCGTCCACAGAACGAATCAATGGGATATAAACCATGATGGGTATCACATGTCAAGTTTCGCACTCGCCGTCACATGACAAACTTTACAAGATGCCGGCAGTTACCATACGATTTGCAATCACACGAGAGATTCTAATAATGCCTGACAGTTGCCATACATACATAACTAACCCCTGACATAGTGCAGATTTCTGAACTGTGGAAGTTCAAGAGAAGTTGACATGAAGCAGCCAGGAACCTGCAAAGTTAAAAAAATTAGAACATTAGCCATTTGTAAGCTTGTCGGGGATTCGGTTGAGGGTAGATCTGAATCCCTAAAAGACCTGAAGAAAGCCAATATCAACAGATAAGCAACGGGGCATGTAATAAATATAGTAAGCTGAAACGGTTTGACCTCGGATATGAGATAATAAATACATCAAGGTCACACTCAAACAATTTGTTGTGTGCATTCACTCACGAAGAGGTCAAGAGGTTAATAAAATATTTATTTAAAACAAATAACACGGCTTAGATGATATGGGAAGCTAGTAGTGCACTAGTTTTCCAGCATCAGCCTTTCATGTTGATAGAAGGGAAACAAATTAACGTCTACATGTGTGCAAAAGTGAACTGGACATACAAGGAATATGAGTGCCAGACTACAAATTTATCCAGAAAAAATGAGTGCAAGTCTCAGGAAGGGCAAGACCAGCAGAATCCTGCATGGAGCATCTAATCCAATAAAATGTGTTGCTACACACAATTCTATCAGTACCGTGATTCGGTATATTCCTATAAATGTCAACAGACTTTTGGCCGCAAAGAAGCATATTCTCCTAAAGAGGTTAGCCTTCTCTGAATGAAATGCGGTTCTCCAATTTCACAAAGTTATCAGAAGTATTTCAGCAAAAAAAGAAGCGGAAAGTAACAAAATAAGCTTGAAATTGGGTTGATCAGCAATCCGAAACCAAAGGGGAAATGAGAGAAAGTGCAGTTATTTTCCATCTCCAGGAATCTACATACTGCTCAGTTATTTTCCTTCATCACAGTTCAGTTTGGTAATAACTCATAAGCAGTTTTATAAGTTTATCTGTTAAGTGAACTTGGCCCATACTCTACACAGAAAAAATAATGGGACTAGATTTTGTTAAACATCAAATTCAGGACTTCAACCAATGGAGACTGTTCCTGTACCTGCCGGCTGCTCCATTAATGCTCATTTTTATAGTACGAACTTGCCCTGAATATGTAGACCTGCAAAAGAAAAATGCATAACAGAGGTTGCATAGTTAGCAGCATAGATAGACTTTTACCACAGTAATGCTTACAAAAAAGGATTCTCCAGGTAATGGAAGGTGCACAACGGAAGGCAGGCTCAAGAGGCAAAACACTTCCCTATATCTGCTTGGGATGGAGACTTTTAACATGGATGTTGAAGAAATCATATGTTCCTTGCAAATTTCATGTACAACCAAGCATTTGAAACAGCTCCGTTCTCATACTTTGTGTTGTGAATAACGAGACACAGTTTCCTAGTTACAATTATTTGTGTAAGTAGACATGGGTGGACCAGTTTTCCCCATGTGATATTTTAGAGACTTCACATCATTACTAGAAGGATTTGCCCGTGTCAGTTGTGCCGAGGATCATCACGATAATCCATCAATGACATGTTTCACCATCTAAATTGCAATTATATGCAACCATAACATGAAAAGTACTACCAATAGCACTCCCCAACACCAAGGCCAAACTCTGGATGTTTCGCATCACAAACACCTAGTGAGAGCTGCCTCTACAGGCCCGCCCTCTTCATGTTTGATCTAGTGACAGTGTAGAGTAGCCTACTATTTTTTGCTCTTTCTTTTTCAAGTTCTTGTTTTGTTTTGTAGGTTGCCTTTTCTTGTCAGTTTGACTTAGTCAGATCAAGGAGGCGAAGCTTTGGGTGTGCGCAGGTGCTGCAGGGCCTAGGGTGTGTTTACCTGTGGCTTGGGATGTCCACTGAGCCTTGCATGCTGTGTTGCTCTATGTAATGTGTTGTATTGTATCTGACCTCATCTTTGGGTTTGTAATCTTTTTTCTATCTTTTCAATATACAGTACACAAGCTCTGCGTTTTCTCAAAAAAGACTTGCGCCTTTTCAGTGCCTTCGACACATCTAGATACGTGCTTGAGAAAAGAAAAATACCATAAACCCCCCAAGCAGATTTCACATTTCAGAACTTCTTAAGAATCATGACACGGCATCTCAAACAACCACAGAAATTCAATACCATAAAAGACCAACTAAGAATCTCACCTTGAACAATGCCCTCTTGATCAGCTGGAACACCAAGCAATCACCTTCAACTAGCTCATTGTCGACGGCAAACTCGCTCCACCCGGTGATAAGACTGCTACTGTGTGGACGATAAAGCACCTTAAACTCCTCCTCCTCCTCATCCACCAAAACCATTCTCATGCGATGGTCCGGGAGATGCTCCATGCTGAACTGTGCCGGGATATGCTTCCAGATACGCCACCATATCAATATCTAACAATCAATCCTCTCTCAGAGGGGATGGGAACAATAGATTAGTGGTAGTTTCTGCTTTACCAGCGAGGTAAGAGACTGGGGCATGGGTTTGACAAAGGTGGGGTAGTCGGAGCCTAGCTCATCCTGTAGCTCTTCGGCCTTGGCGATGGCGTACGCATGATCAGGCTTTACTTCCTTCTGCTGCCGTGGTTTCCCGGTGCCCAGCTTTACATGAGAATTATTCTTATATTCGTTAGGAAAATAAGATGAGATCCTTGGGAGAGCCACCTCTTGAGTGGTGGACTGCCTTAAGGTGGAAATTTAGTGCGATTTGCGGGTTTATTCCAGGTCTTCATCAGTTACAACATACCCGTCCTTTCTTTTTACTTCACATGTTAGTTTTGTGTTATGTCAAATCAAATTTTATAAAGTATGAGCAAATTTAATATTAAGAAAACATCAACATCTACTATACCAAATAAAATACTAAATTATGAAAATGTATTTCATCATGGATATAATGATATCGATTTGGTATTGTGACTGTTGATTTCTTTTATATACTTATTATTAGTCAAACTTCATAAGTTTGACTTGACTTAGGGTTGAAAAGAAACGGCGGGAGTATGATTAGATCTTAGTATTTTGTACTAATCGGCTACGGGACCCTTAGTTGCGAAGCACGTACATTGTCGCGATAGTCGGGCTGCTCGGGGAGGGTGGCGATACGGCCGGAACGCCGGGGCGGGGCGTCATCGGCGGCGTCCCGTGGCTTCGGGGCCTTCCTCTTCTGCGACGCCAACCAAACAGAAATACTCAAAAAAGGAAGACAGACAGGAGCAGAGGAACGGCGGAGGGCGGTGCGGATCTGACGGACCAGCCTGGGCTTGACGGCGGCCTCGCGGACGGCGGCGGAGAGGTGGTGCAGGCGCAGCTCCTCCAGCTTCCGCTTGTTCTCCTCCACCTGCCTCCTGCGCTGCTCCTCGTACGAGTTCGCTTCAGCCATTTTCCCCCACTTTCTTGGTTTTGGGTTTGATTTTTCGGGCGGAGCCGATGAACAAACTGCCGAGAGAGGAGGAGGGCAATCCAGAGTGGGGAACGAGGGTTTTTTGGTTTCGGCGGGGAAGCAGAGGAGGAGGAGGAGGAGGTTAATAAAGCCGTGAAAACCCGGGATGGAGTGATTTCATTCTCTTTTTTCGGAATCGGCATACGGCGCCACGGCCGTTCCCTCGGCACATTTTTCGTTTTTCACCTAATTCCACTTTTTTAACCCTAGTTTCACACGGTATTTATCCCATTTGGTGGGTTTTTTCATACTTTTACCCAATTAAATAAATTTTATGTCACAAAATACCCCACTAAATTTTGGAAAACGTTTAGATTCAACAGACTGATTTCTCTGGAGAACCAGTTGGGTCGCTCGCATGCCACGTCGCCTCGTGGTCCCGCGACGCCTTCCCTATCCTCTTCTTCCAAATCGAGCTCATCCCGTTTCTCTCTTCTCTGTACGAGATGCGGCGTGGCCGCCGGCGACTACTGCGCAACCAGAACCGTGCCTGGCCTTCCTCCTCTCCGTGGGATCGACCACCGCCGGCGCTGCTGAGACACTGCATCGCAATGCAGCATCCATGACTGAGATTGGGGGGAAATTGACGACTATACTGCAGCGGAGCATCCATGGTGTTGCTCGGCGGCGACGGTGCTGCAACGCAGCTTCCATGGTGTTGCTCACCGACAATGGTGCTGCAACGCAACATCCATGTAAATGCTCGCCGGCGACGGTGCTGCAACGCCAATGCTTCAATGGAGCGTTGCCGGGAAATCGGTGTTGCGACGAAGCATCATCTGAGTTGTCGGTGCTTCAGTGGAGCATCGCTAGACCGCGGAGGTGCTTCAATGGGGCATCGCTGTGACCGAGAATCGATACTCCAGCGGCGGGCGCTGATATCAGGGATGCTGCTTCGACAAGGGAGGTGGAAGACATGCACTGCCAGCCAGAGGAGGAAGACATAGTGTGCTAGGCTGCCGCGAGATCGAACGTCCATGTGCATTACATCGGAAGGCTAGTTAGGCGGTTGATCTTTTTATAAGATCAACGGGCTGATTTGTAGCAGCGCCCTTAAAAAATTTCTTGTTTTTTGCACTAACTGCATGTAGGTGATTTAGTTTAGCACCCATGGCTTTTCTCCTTGTCTATTTGCATCGCATCAGGTCGCACCAGGCTAAGCACACCCGAACATACCGCGTCACACCTGACCCATGGGCACCCGGTCGAACGCGATACGCAGTGCACGCAACGCGGCGCACACCACACCCACTTCGCTCGGCTGAAACAACGATGACAACTAACATCAGCGCCCCGCAAGGAGCAATTCATGATGACAAGGAGATAGGGAGCACGAAGGCCTACATGGAGAGAGGGTAAGGAAGGAGGAGCTCACAACTTGTTGGTGCAACTGGGAGGCTCGGGGATGCCCGGGTTAATGACAGACGCAAGTGCGAAGCTCGATTATGCGGGGACGATGGCTCAAGGTCGCTGGGCACGATGAGAAGGTTGCTACCATCTTCAGGAGGTCGGTGCAGAGCTAGGGAAAAGCCAGGCACAGGCGTCAGGGCTCCGCAATGATGATGAATCGAGCACGGTGGCGCTCGGCTGGAGGCGAAGAAGGTGGTTGTTTTTACAAGATCTCAAATCCATACGATCAAATTGAAATTTTGCAAATATTTGACCACATCCTCCTCCTCCTAAACTAAGAGATGCTCTTCACCCTCATCTAGACCAAAGAGGCCCTTTTCGTTCTTTTTTGGGCCGAAGAGTTGTCTTCGTTCCTGGCGTCGCCTAAGAGTTGCTCTTCGTTCCTGCCATGGAGGAAGAGTTAGCATCCAACACCCACGCAAAGTAACCGTCCTTATACACCAGAGCTCCTTCCAGTTAAACCCTAGCGCCAGTAGGACCGAATCAACGAGGAGAGCCCAATCAGACGAAGAACCACTTCAACTGTGCACCGTGGAGGAAGATTTTTTTTCTTTTCAATCTACACTGACCACGACAAGCCTGTAGCTTGCTAGTTGAGAAAAATTTCAATTAATCACACACATCTACTCATGTAGACACCCCCAACATCCTAGACATCGCCCCTCACCATATTGTTACAGACAATATTTGGTTCATGTCCACGAATGGCACGGGCCATGGAGGGCGCGACCAGTGACAAGAATAGAATAAGGGACAATGTCTAGATAGGCAGCATCTAGATTAGTAGATATGCTCATTAATTAAAAAATCATCGAGCATGATGTAGGCCTTGTGGTGGTTATTGTAGATTGAAAAGGGAAATATGCCCTCCACAATGCACGGTTCAAGTGGTTCTTTGTTTGAATAGATCCTTGTCGTCGATGTAGTGTTGATGGCGTGAGGATTTCACTTGGATAAACTCTGGTGTATATGGGATGGCCACATGCGTTGGATATCCACTCTTCATCCAAGGCATGAGTGAAGAGTAGCTCTTTGGTCATGCTTGGAACGAAGATTAATTCTTCGGCCCATGGCATGGAAAGGGCACTTCGACCCAGATGAGGACGAAGACATTGGGGAACGAAGTAATTCAAAAAAAAAAATCCTACGATCACGCAGGATCTATCAAGGAGATGCATAGCAACAAGACGGGAGAGTGTGTTCACGTACCCTCGTAGACCGAAAGCGGAAGCGTTTAGTAACGCGGTTGATGTAGTCGAACGTCTTCATGATCCAAGTACCGAACGTATGGCACCTCGGTGTTCAGCACACGTTCAGCATTATGACGTCCCTCGAGATCTTGATCCAATTAAGGGCGAGGGAGAGTTCCGTCAGCACGACGGCGTGGCGACGGTGTTGATGATGTTACCGGCGTAGGGCTTCGCCTAAGCACTACGACAATATGACCGAGGTGTTAAACCGTGGAAGGGGTACCACACATGGCTAAGAGAATAACTGTTGTTCTTTGGGGTGCCCCCTGCCCCGTATATAAAGGAGGGAGGAGGAGGATGTTGCGTAACGCGGTAATTTCAAAAAAATTCCACGATCACGCAAGATCTATCTAGGTGATGCATAGCAACAAGAGGGGAGAGTGTGTCCACGTACCCTCGTAGACCAAAAGCGGAAGAGTTTAGTTAACACGGTTGATGTAGTTGAACGTCTTCGCGATCCAACCGATCCAAGCACCGAACGTACGACACCTCCGCATTCAGCACATGTTCAGCTCGATGACGTCCCTCGTACTCTTGATCCAATTGAGGCCGAGGGAGAGTTTCATCAGCATGATGGCGTGGCGACAGTGATGATGAAGTTACCGGCGTAGGGCTTCGCCTAAGCTCTACACGATATGACCGGGGTGTGTAAATGTGGAGGGGAGCAACGCACACGGCTAAAAGATCAACTTGTGTGTTCTAGGGTGCCCCCCTATCCCCGTATATAAAGGAGCAAGGGGAGGCCGGCCGGCCCTCCTAGGCGCGCCCCCAATAGGGGAATCCTACTAGGACTCCAAGTCCTAGTAGGTTTCCACCAAGAGGGAGAGAGGGGGAAGGAAGGAGAGGGAGAGGGAGAAGGAAAGGGGGCGCTGCCCCCCTCCTAGTCCAATTCAGACCCAAAGGGGAGGGGGCGTGTGGCCTGCCCTGCCCGCCCCTCTCTCTCCAATAAGGCCCATCGAAGCCCATTAGTTCCCCCGGGGGTTCCGATAACCCTCCGGCACTCCGGTTTTATCCGAAACTTCTCCGAAACACTTCCGGTGTCTGAATATAGCCGTCCAATATATTAATCTTTATGTCTCGACCATTTTGAGACTCCTCGTCATGTCCGTGATCTCATCCGGGACTCCGAACAAACTTCGGTCATCAAAACACATAACTCATAATACTAATCATCATCGAACGTTAAGCGTTCGGACCCTACGGGTTTGAGAACTATGTAGACATGACCGAGGCACATCTCCGGTCAATAACCAATAGCGGAACCTGGATGCTCATATTGGCTCCTACATACTCTACGAAGATCTTTATCGGTCAAACCGCATAACAACATACGTTGTTCCCTTTGTCATCGGTATGTTACTTGCCCGATGTCGGTGTCAAAACCGGCGGATCTCGGGTAGGGGGTCCCGATCTGTTCGTCTAAGGCTAATGGTAACAGGAGGCAAGGGACACAATGTTTTACCCAGGTTCGGGCCCTCTCGATGGAGGTAAAACCCTACTTCCTGCTTGATTGATCTTGATGATATGAGTATTACAAGAGTTGATCTACCACGAGATCGTAGAGGCTAAACCCTATCGTAGAGGCTAAACCCTAAGAGCTAGCATATGATGGTTATGATTGTTATGATCATCCCTATACGGACCAAACCCTCCGGTTTATATAGAGGGGGCTAGGGTTTACACAGAGTCGGTTACAAAGAAGGAAATCTAATATCCGGATTGCCAAGCTTGTCTTCCACGCAAAGGAGAGTCCCATCCGGACACGGGGCGAAGTCTTGAGTCTTGTATCTTCACGGTCCAACAGTCCGGCCAAAGTATATAGTCCGGCTGTCCGGATACCCCCTAATCCAGGACTCCCTCAGTAGCCCCTGAACCAGGCTTCAATGACGATGAGTCCGGCGCACAGTTTGTCTTCGACATTGCAAGGCGGGTTCCATCTCCGAATACTCCAAAGTAATTATCGAACACTTAAATCGTGTCCGGATCCTCAAGATGATCTTCGCATACCATCGTAGAGAGAACGATATTCCACAAATGTAATCTACTAACGACTACAGACGACGTGACATGACACTATGGTCGAGTCTTTATTTGAACCATTTTCTCACAACTAGCCACAACGCATATTGCGAGGCGGTTTCCTCGGCACGTCTTGTTGAAGCAGAGTTCATGTCCCCTTATCATGGGATTCCCATTAATATGGGTATGGGTAACCCAACCGCACCATCAATCGCGGCGCTTGGGAAATAAGCGATCTTCAGCAGGCAAGTGGGGAGGCGC